ACTCCCATAACCTGACCCTTGGGTACAAAAAACTGGCCGAAAGGGCGTTCAAACCAAATATGTTAGGGTTGTGTGTATTCTCACTAATACTGGGTTTCGCTGTCAAACAGTTGGACTCAAAGGCCGATACTGTTAGACAAGTCTTACACGAGACTCAGGGTCTAATTATGAATGTTATGATGACATTAATTAAGTATTTTTTTTTAATTTAAATTATTAATATGATCATTATTATATTTTTAATTTTATTAGAGTAATGCCAATCGGAATATTTTTCTGGATGTGTGTGGAGGCCATTAAAATGAAATCACCAGGATCTATACTAGTGCAATTAGGCTGGTTTTTTGCGATTGCATTTTTAGCATTTTTCACAATTTGGTTTGTTGTATACCCGGCTGTATATTTTTTAATAATACGTAAAAATCCGTATAAATTTTTTATTAATATACTACCGGCGATGATCGTGGCATTTGGATCAGGGTCAAGGTAGTTTATTGGTCATATTTGTTTTAAAACTATATTAATTAATAATATTGTATAATATATTTTACTTACCTAGCGCAATAACATTACCATTTACAATAGACTGTATGGAGAAAAATTACAAACTACCTACTCCAATTTCACAATTTGTTTTACCACTGGGTATGACCATGCACATGAATGGTGTGTGTTTGTACTACCCTATGGTCACCCTATTTGTGGCACAAATGCATAATTATCATGTGGACTCTCAAATGCTTGTTTCATTATGGTTAATTTTAATTATATATTATACTTGCTTTGCCAATAATATTTTGTTAATTAATATACATTATATTATTTAGTATATTTGCACTGATTATGTCTATGGCATTACCTGGAGCACCGGGAGGTGGATCATCTTTGGTCAATTTTATGACGTTTTGCGCGTTTGTTGGTATTGATAATCCCATGGATATACTCGCATATACAATGACAATTGACTGGCTAATGTATGTGAATTTTATATTTAACCTAGAAACTTATTTAATTATTTAGATTTTAAAATTATAGTCTAAGTAACTTTTAAATATTTTATTATAATAATCAGGATAATATTAAACACTTACTAGTTTAATGAGCTACTGTTACATGGTTGCATTTCTACATAATTTATATTTTATATTAAAATTAATTAAGTACTAAAAATAAAACTGATTATGTTAAATTATTGCTTACAGGGATCGTATGCGTACAGTAACAAATGTGATGGGTGATTGTTTTTTGGCGGCTATCATACAAAGGTTATGCTGATATAAATGTTTTAAATAAGCTTATTTCACATTTTGATAACTGTAAGTAAAATGCGATATTTAGTAACTTATAAAATAATAAATTATTTTCAAGTATGTGTTTTTCAAAATCTGATTATATGTACTGTACAAACTAATAATCTATATGCCTATGTTA